CAACGATGAAACATACAACTTTCCTCTAGTTCCTAAAGGTTTCCTCCCCGCCCCCACTATCATAATCCCAATTCTACCTTGCAAGTCTGGCTAGACCAGAGTATGTACACTGGTACAGATAGAAACCGAAAACACAGGGAATCCAGGGCGGATGATCCCTTCAGGACCAGTGATGAGAGTGGCAATATCAGGAGGGTGGAAGGAGGGTGGGGTAGAACGGGGAACTGATTACAGGGATCTACATATAACCACCTCCCTGGTGGACAGACAGCAGAAAAGTGGGTGAAGGGCTATGTCAGACAGTGTAAGACATGACAAAATAATAGCTTGCAAATTATCAAGGGTTCATGAGGGAGGGGGGAAAATGAGGAGCTGATGCCAGGGGCTTAGGTGGAGAGAAAATGTTTTGAGAATGATGAGGGTAACGAATGTACAAATGTGCCTTATACAATTGATGTATGTATGGATTGTGATAAGAGTTGTATGCGCCCCCAATAAAATGATTTAAAAAAATAAGAAATATACAAAGACCTATGTTCTAAGACAGGATTTGATCATTGATGCGAGAGAATCCAAAGTACAGTAGGAGTTTTTTAAAAAAGGGCAGTAAAATACTCATGGGGACCATTAGAGGCAACAACTAACAGTGTGCAGCATAGTGGCACTTGACAGGCACAGGTTTGGTATTTTTTACTTAAGGGTAGGGCAACCTTGTAAGGACAATTTCAGAGTACTTGTTTACAATTATATCATTTCATATGTGCATATGAAAGCCAGTCAACGAATAAGGAACACCATGACGAATTCATACATGTGAACTACGGTGTGGAGGAAGAACATTAAAGTAACATGGGCTGCCAGGAAAACAAACAATTCTCTCTTTTAAAAGGTGCAGCCAGCATCCTGGCCCACCAAGCCTTGAGTATGATATCTCTGCTCAGGGCTGCCAATGCACAGAGAGGACCAAAGGGCTGGTCCCACTACGAGACACACTGACCCATAGCCCTACGGGGGACAACACTGGAGACACAGTGGGGGAATTGTGCCCGATCTGACCCCACCACACTGAGGCGAAACAATAAGGGTGTGCAACAGAACAGCAAGGGGAACAGAGCAAGGAAGTCCCTAAGGAATACCAAAAATAGACTTCAGGGCCAGGGCTTGGACTTGACCGGAAAACACTCCTAAAAGCCAACAAACAGACCTTGAACTATGTACAGGCTTTTCTTTGTCATTGTTTTTTTTGTTGTTGCTGTTTTGTTTTGCTTTCTTTTGCTCTGTCTTGTTTTTTGTGCATAATATTATGTCTGCAGGTCTATCTAGATAAGATAGGGGGGATAAACAATCTGGAGGAGAAAACAACAGAACCGACGGTTCCAAGGGGAACATGGGAGAGAGGGAGGTGGGGGAAAGGAAGTGGGTGTTAACAAACCCAGGGACAAGGGAACAAATGATCCAAAATCAGTGGTGAGGAGGGTGTAGGAGGCCTGGTAGGGCTTGATCAAGAGCAAGGTAACTGAGAGGAATTACTGAAACCCAAATGAAGGCTAAGTATGAAGGTGGGACAAGAAGAAAGGAAAAGGAAATAGAGGAAAAAACTAGGAGGCAAAGTGCATTTATAGAGGTCTAAATACAGGTGTGTACATATATGAATATATTTATATATGACGATGGGGAAATAGATCTATGATATAGATTTATAGGTTTAGTATTAAGGTAGCAAATGGACATTGGGCCCCTATTAAATACTCCCACAATGCAAGAATCCTTTGTTCTATTAAACTAGCATTCCAGGATGTTCACCACCTTCCTAACACGATCACTGAAGACAAAGTGGGTGCATAAGCAAATGTGGTGAAGAAAGGTGATGGTGCCCAGTTATCAAAAAATACAGCATCTGGGGTCTTAAAGACTTGAAGATAAACAAGCAGCCATCTAGCTCAGAAGCAACCAAGCCCACATGGAAGAAGCACACCAGCCTGTGTGACCACGCAGTGCAGATAGATTCAGGTATCAGGCATCAAAGAACAAAAAATCCTATCATTGTGAATGAGTGGGAGTGCAGAGTGGACACCCAAAGTCCATCTCTAGACAACTGGACATCCCCTTACAGAAGGGTCATGGGGAGGAGACGAGCCAGTCAGGGTGCAGTGTAGCAACGATGAAACATACAACTTTCCTCTAGTTCTTTAATGCTTCCTTCTCCTATCATGATCCCACTTCTACCTTACAAATCCAGCTAGACCAGAGCACGTACACTGGTACAGATAAGAGCTGGAAACACAGGGAATCCAGGACAGATAAACCCCTCAGGACCAGTAATGAGAGTAGTGATACCAGAAGGGTAAGGGAAAGTGGGGTAGAAAGGGAACCGATTACAAGGCTCTATATATAACCCCCTCCCTGGGGGATGGACAATAGAACAGTGGGTGAAGGGAGACGTCAGACAGTGTAAGACATGACAAAATAGTTTATAATTTATCAAGGGTTCATTGTGGCGGGGAAGGAGGTGAAAATGAGGAGTTGATACCAAGGGCTCAAGTAGAAAGAAAATATTTTGAGAATGATGATGGAAACAAATGTATGTATGTATGTATGTATGTATTGTTATAAGAGTTGTATGAGCCCCCACCCCCCACCCCCAAAATGATTTAAAAAATAAAAATAAAAAAGGTGCCAGAATGTTCCTTAGCAGGGACAGCGAGACTTTGTCTCACATAGTTCAGACATGGTATCAGGAAGGACTATTCTCTGGGAAGACATCAGGTCTGGGAAACGGAGGTGGAGACACAGGAGACACAATGGGCTCAGACCACAAGAGCTGTGAGCAGGAGGGTGCGGGCCTGGGCGGCTGGGCCTCTGGGCAGCACCTACCAACAGGGCAGCACAACAGAGACAGGAAAGCAACTAGGGGCTGGGGCCTATTACCACTTTGCTCTGAGGCCGGAGAAGTCACACCTTTTCTCGGCCCTGATTCCCCCTGGAATGACAGAGAGGCCGCCCCTCTGCTCATCTGGGCCTGTCAGGCCTCTTCATGAGGGCACAGCAACCTTTACCTTTTCCTGTTGGCTCTTATCAGAGGGTGTGGGGTCGCATTCCAAAGTATCCTCCTTTGACAGGGTGTCAGCTAAGGACGTTTTGCTGCCATCGGCCTTCCGTTTTGTTCCTCCTTACGTTTTCAAAAGAGAAACGGAGCTGAAGTCGTCAATGATCATACTTGCTGAGTGCAGCTGCCCGCAGGAAAGCCACCTGCTGACGTCCGCCTGGAGGTAAATCCCACCAAACCCCTTGCTGTGGAGCCGACTGTGACTTAGAGACCCTAAAGGACAGAGAAGACCGTGCCCTTGGGTCTCCAGGGCTGTAATTTTGCTGATCGTAGCCAAACATGCACAAACTGTCATCTTTGTGCAAAGAGACGATTAAGTCTGTCCCTGTAAAGTGGCTGGGGGGTTCCACTGCCAACCTCTCAGCTCGAAGCTAAGTGTTCAAACCCCTGGACCACAGGGACTTCTGACATGTGTTTATCTAGGAAAAGTACTGGTTTCATCTATATTGTACTACACAATCATGAATGACCGCTCGCCTGCTCTACCTTATACCGAACCCATTGCTGTGGAGGTAATTCTGACTCAGAATTATGTCCCACCCTATGGGACAGAGTGGAGCCGCCCAGTGGGCTGTAATCTCGATGGAAGCAGACTATCACATCTTTATCCTACAGAGCAGTGGGTGGACTCAAACTGCTGACCCTTAGTTAGTAACCAAGCACTTTAAAGACTGCACCAGCAGGACTCACTTCCACCTACAGGTAGGAGAGAGATAATTTTATCACCTGAAGTGTAGCTCATTTGTAACCCCAGCAAAGAAAAGGCTCAATGCCATAAGCTCTTGTGTCCCTGATACCTTAGCACATAGAACCTCCTAAGTGAATCCAGTATGGCTCGTGTTAAGGCAGTGGTCCCCAACCTTCCTAATGCCTCAACCCTTTCATACAGTTCCTCATGTTGTGGTGACCCTCCAACCACAAAATTATTTTCGTTGCTACTTCATAACTGTCATTTTGCGACTGTTACGGATCGTAATGTAAGTATCTGATCTGCGGGATGTATTTTCATTGTTACAAATTGAGCATAATTAAACATAATTAATTTTAAAAATTATAATTAGAGCATAGTGATTAATCACAAAACAATATGTAATTATATATTTTGAAATAGTGAAATATTTATGTTTTCTGATGGTCTTAGGCAACCCCTGTGAAAGGGTTGCTCGACCCCCAAAGGGTTGCGACCCACAGGCTAAGGACCACTGTGTTAAGGAGAGGCCAAGAACTTACGCACTTTTCTTTCCCGCTGCTCGGAATTTTGTAGGCACAGCAGTGCTGGTATGAGGCGCTGCATCGAACGTATCCAAATCAAAGTTTGCAAGAGGAGGAACATAGTCTGGGATGACTGAAACAGAAAGCAAGCAGAAGCTAAGGGGTGCTTCAAAAAGTCCATGGACAATTGGTATTAAATGATAATGGAATCTTCCCATGAACTTTTGAAGCCTCCTCATATATACCAACCACAGTCCAATACTAAGAATGCAATTACCCAACTGGCTAGAAACTAGTACCCCAAGCCCACCAAGCATGGCTGAATGCCTGGAAGATACATGCAGTGGACATGAGTCACTGAGACACAGCAAATTGGCCAGAGATAACGTGTCATATGGATGATGATCAAGTCACATGAAGCCATATAAAATAAAATGATAAAAAAAATTTGAGGAAAAAAAAAATTTGGGGAAATAAGGACCAAAAATAAAGTAATTTACATGTAAATTTAAAGCTATCAACAACACTGAATCACATCTGTTTATTTTACAGATAATTATTAAGATGCAGGCATGAGTGGGACTGGAAGCTGATACTTACTTCTCGAAGCAGCACCATCTCTTGGCGGTGATAATGGGAGCAAAATAAATGCACTCTTTGTTGTTCCTGTGGTCCCTTAGTTTTTCCTTGGCCCAGCTTAACCTGCCACTAGCGGGGGCATGCCCCATACCCCGTTACCTGCCAAGTACTTCTCCAGGATCTCCTGTAATTCTATGATGTGCTTTAAGCGGGTGAGCACCTTCCCCTTCATCTCAGGTGACGTCTGCTGGCAGAAGGCATTCACAACCTGCAAAAGGGCAGATTACCGCTCAGGTTTCCACCTTGTTCGCAGGAATCCCCCCGGGCTGAAGAGGCCATTCAGTGGCAGGATCTGTGAGTCTAGTCTGTAATGTCAGAGCTCACAGGATCCGTGAGTGTCGTCTGCAATACAAAACGTGTTTTCAATAGCGTGAGGTAGATGCGCTCCGACTGTGAGCCCCACTTCTGGGTAAGACTGGCGTGTAACGAGGCAGAAGAGCCCCGGGCTAGAGATGACGCACATCAGTGAAAGGGAGTCCTCGTCTGCTACTTGCTAGCCAAGGAACCTTGCCGAGTCTTTAGTCTCTGAGCTTTGATTCCTTCGGCTATAAAGTGGGGCTATGGTGTTCAGAAGGATTAAATAGTGTAACTAAGGAATCCACACAGCATAAGACGCGGGGTGACTCGGACTCTTTGAACCTGGAATCTGAGTGTGTGAAAATACTACTTGTCTTGCCTACTTCGTTCTGTAATTGTGAGGACTATACTTGTGCTGAGCTAATCTGCATAAGGGCTTTGAAAAGCGGGCCACAGGGAGGACGGTTCCTCGTTGCCACTACTGTCATGAAGTCCAGTGAGGAAGAAGCCCTGTGGCTGCCTGTGCTCGCACAAGCAGTGTTTCCATCACGGAGAAAGGGAGGAGTTGATTCCAGGCAGAAGGGAGAATATAACCAGCAAAGGCCTAGTGGTAACAGAGTGAATTCTTAAGTATCGCCATATGGCCACCACAGGAGAGGTGCATATCCGGCGTTGGGGGACGCACGGCTGAAGAAGCACAGAGGCACAGGTGCTTAAGGAGCTTTCTGAAAAGTCTTGTGGGAGCCAAAAAAGTGGCTGCTTTTCGAGACTTACAGACAATGGGCGAAGTGCCCCAACCACTGAGCTCACCTCTCGGAACCAGTTGAGGGTGAGAAATATGAGTGAGCACATGAATGACTGCTCTTTAGCAGACATGGACGCCAGCTTCTCTCCAGGGTCCAGGTCCGTGAGGCAAAGAGGGCAATCTGAAAGACAAGGACAAAGATTGCAGCCTCCTTGCATGCAGGCCCTGGAGCTAGCCCTCCTGGCTACCGAGTCCCAGGCACACTTTCACATTGATGCAGCAGGCCCGAGAACGGTCGTGGAGAAGTCTCTGCGGCAGTCAGAAAGGTCAGGGCCAGAGGCAATAAAGAACGATGGGGACATTTGATTTGTGGAGCGTGATGGGGCTGTATGTATGGTTCCGCTTTGGGAATTTGATTACGGCTGCCATACTGACTGTGCAACTGGCAAACCCCTTACCACACATATTACAACTGGTTTGCTCCTGCCTCAAGATCACCCAGGGCTCCCAAGCAGGAAGGAGCTGGTGATGTCATCCTCTACCTAGTAAACCATCGATCTCCTCCAACTTGCCACCATGCTGCCTCTCCACACACAGCCTCAGGAGTCGGAAGTGGGAAGCCAGGCACAACGGAGAGACCAATCTGGGAAGGAAAAGCCACCACATTTTATAGGTGCATTAGTCCACGTTCACGGGAAACCAACCTTACAATTAGGGAGTTTTGACCAAAACAAAGATCTATCTTTCAACACAAGTGGCAGGGAACACAATGGCTGCTCAGGAAATCCGTCCTAACTGGGACTGGAGGGAGAGGGAGAGGGGGGTGAGGGGAGCACATGGACGATTGAAGGTGAGTGTGAACGTGACAGAGGTGGCCATCAATGTCCACAAGGCGCAGAAGGTGCCATAGAAAGCAATGGATCCGGAACAGAGGAGGTGATCATGAGGTGGTGCAAGTGCCCCCTTCAGGGTCCCAACGGAAGCAAGAGATCCTGTCCATTCCCTCAGACCCATCCGAGCCTCATCTACCCAGGGATGAAACCCTTTTGACTTCCTGAGACCCAAGGAACTGGGAGTCCCCGTGAACACCCAAAATACTAACAGAGGTTTCAGAAAGGAACAAGGTCACCAACTTTGGGCCTGATTCAGGGGAGGCTGCTCTGCCCCGGTCTTCCGCAAAGTCCTGAGAGAAGAGCATTGGCAGCAGGTTGATGGCGATCCCGTCCTGACTGTTGTACTGCTCCAGCCCGTAGAGAGCTTTCACGGGGAACAGGCCGTCCCTGTGGAGAGAGGCCCCGCTCAGAGGCCAGCAAAGCTAGCGGGGATCACCCAGTCTCACTCAATGTGGCAGGAATGAGTAGCACAACTTGAAAGAACAGCTGACGCCAAGGAGGCTTCGGCAGGGGCAGGAAGGAGGCTGGAGGACCAGGGAGGCTGCTTGGCTGCATTCCAAGGCATTTGGAAGTCTGCACCAAGCGCTGACATCAGGGAGGAACTTCTTCACAAGGACACCAAGTCGCTGGGCAGACTGGACTTACCCTTCTGGGATAGCGCAGAGATCCACCACGAATGCTTCTTGGAAGTTGTTAAGGATGGCCTGCCCAGCCCATTCCTTCAGGAGGCAAACAAACACACAAACAAACACTGCAACCACGGTGTCCTGGTGGGGAGGCCCTGGGAAAATGACTCTGGGCCTGCTGAGCCTGGTTCCCCACCTCTAGAACGGGTGAGGACGTACACCGCATCATGGCGAAGTGGAAAGTGGACAATGCTCGGCGCAGTGCCTGGCACAGAACAGGCTCTCAACAACATCATCATTGACCCGACGACCTCTGACCACAGCCTCTCATTGCGCCAGTCCCGGCTGGTATGCTGGGCAGACTGGGAAGGAGGTCTCGGGGAGAGCCCTGGGCCTCGGCCTTCCCAATCGGCCTCCATGAGCTCACGGGACGGTCCCTGCCTCAGTGCTCCCATGCTGCTCTCGGGGAGACGAAGGCTTTAATCAATCTCAGTTTAGAGGCTGCAAGCACGGACTCAGGACAGTGCTCTAGGGAAAGGCGCGCTCTCTGTCCCTCTCTGGGTTCTGGGGGCAGGTCCCTACCCCTCAGCCTGCTTTCCTCGTTCCCTGGAGAGCTCCAGGTACCCTGGCAGACGTCTCCCCCCTGTGTGCCTGACTACTCTGCTACTTGGAGAGACTTTTTTCAAGACACAGGCTACCCGAACCCTGTCTCGTTCACATGGTAAAAACAGTGGCTAGCATTTACAAGGCATGCTTTTGCAGAACACAATTCAACAGGCGCAGCCCCACTTCCACACACCAGCCGGGAGTGGGAGGAGCACCGCAGCCCTGCGCTTCACTCAGCGCTTTCCCAGCGAAGACTCTTGACCTACCAGGGTGTTGGGAGCCAGGTGCCCTCCTTGGATCACGTTGGCAAATTCATCGTAATAAAGCGCAGAGGCCTGTGGAGACTGCTCGCTGCAGGAGTGAACTAACTGGAGCAAGGAGCTCACCTAGAACAGTCCAAGAGAAAACCCGGCTCAGTCCTTGGGCTGCCGACCCTGCCTGAACTCCCTCTGCCTTCCCACTTCCTTGGCCACGCTCCTCTGCAGCTCCCATCCCGTTTCACAGCCTCTTTCCAACGGCATGCCTTTTCCAAGCCATCAACACGGGTGGCCAGATGCATTTCGATATGCCCTCTATACCTCCCTCTGCCTGAAGAATTAAATCAAAAGTTCAAGGCCCTGTTCTCTCTCGCCGATTAACTGAGCTTCTCGTGACGCACTTCCTTGCCCAGTGCTCCATAACCTGGTACTTACTCTTCAGCTATCCTGCCTCCCGCCCCCCAAGTACTGACACCTTAATTAGGGAGCATAGACAGACACAGAATTAAATACTAGCCAAGCCAGTAGATTTCTAAGTGCCCAAGAAGTGGCCCAAACCACAAAAGTTACAAGTTCAGGACCAGCTTTTAAACAGCAGTGCTCTCCTGGTGACTTGGGATAAGAAGCACTTTGTCAGTCACTCATGAACCTAACAGGACGACCGAGAACTCACCTCTTCACACTCCTCGTGGCTCAGGTCTGCTCTCCTGGAAGAGCCTCTTCATAAAGCAAAAACAAAGATAGCTTCATTTCACAGTATTTTATAAGAACCAGCAATAAGTGTAAGTCTTCTCTGCTTCCCTGAGGGAGAGGGGGATGGACGGGGGGCGGGAGACGAGGAAGAGAAGGTGAAAGTACAAGCAGGACAGGGGAGCATTTACCGGAGCCGCACAAAATGTAGGATCACAGTAAATCAACAGTAATAAGAAGAGCTGACTATGTACTAGGCAGGGAGTCCTGGTGATGGAGTGGGTTATGCTAAACACAAGCTCAGCAGTTCAAAACCACCAGCCACTCCACGGGAGAAAAATGAGGCTTTCTGCTTCCATAAAGAGTGACAGTCTGGGAAACCCCAGGGGGCAGTTCTAGCCCGTCCTACTGGGCTGCTATGAGTCAGAATCGGAGCTTGAGTTGGGTGCACAAGACAACTTGGATAGACTTGCTATGAGTTGGAATTGACCTGATAGCAGTGGGTGGGAAATGCCAGGCCAGAACCCTGGCAGAACAATGGTGAAGTTTCCAGTTGCTAACTACAAGGTGGGCAGTTCAAATCTAGCAGTCCCCCTGCAGAAGAAGCTCCCATAAGAATGTACTGTCTTGGAAAGCTTTCGGAGCAGTTCTGTGGTCCCAGAGGCAGTGTGAGCCAGAACTGACCTGATGGCAGGGAGTTCCCCTGTGCAAGGCATTGTTTTAAGCAACTAATGCTTCCAAGCACGCCTCTGAAGCAAACGCCGTCCTCATCCTTGCGTTAGAGACCGGGAACCACAAGTGCACGATGGCAAAGCCACCTGGAGCCAGGACAGGACCCCAGACAAGCACCAGGGCTTTAGAGAATGAGCTCTGAGCCAGCCTCGAAGGATGACTCATTTTGACTTGAAAGATGTCCCCGGAGGTCTCAGGAGTTCCTGACAAGTCATTTCCAAGGAGTGTGTCTGAGTTTCAACGTCACTGTGCAAAAGTGACATCTGAGCAAGTCCCAAATCTGATGCTTTTCTTCATGCTGCAATTGTAGCCTCAAGGCAGGGTGGGTAGAGGTGAAGAAAAGTTTGGTGTAAAAATGTTCACCACCATTAAAAATGAACGTACCCCATGGCCACGGAGGCCACCCCCACTCCTAGCGACCCTGTGAGGCCGAGCAGAACTGCCCGTTTCGGTGTCCGAGGCGGTCAACCTTCCTGGGAACAGAAAGCCTCCTCGTCCCATGGAGCAGCTGGTGGGTCAAACTGCTGACCGGGCGCTTCCTACCACTGTGCCCGAGAACAACAAAGCCCTACAGAAATGCGCACTGTCCGCCGACCAGGACAGGAGAAGCGCAGAGCACATCCAAGGAGGGCTGGGGCTCCCCTTTGGGTGGAACAGTTTTAGAAGGGGAAGGTGGGGGAAGATAGGGGGGCCCGATCACCAGGATCTACATTTAACTCCCTCGCAGGGGGGCGGACAACAGAAAAGTGGGTGAAGGGAGGCAGTGGTCAGTGTAAGACATGGAAAAAAAAAGATAAATTATCAAGGGTTCATGAGGGAGCAGGGAGGGAAGAAGGGGGGGAGGGGAAATGAGCTGATACCAAGGGCTCAAGTAGAGAGAAAATGTTTTGAAAATAATGATGGCAACATATGTACAAATGTGCTTGACACATGGATGGATGGAAGGATAGATTGCAGTTAAGAGCCCCCAATAAAATAATTTAAGAAAAAGAAACAGTTTTAGAATTTTATCTCTTGGCAACCCCTAGCTTTTAACTACCCAATGGGAATGACTATGATCACAAATCTGTAAAAATTATATACAGTGTAGAGTCACGCTGAGAAGGGAACATGAAAAGGCTTCACGTATTTGTTGATTTTTCTCATCGTAATGTCTGTTAGAACACTGTTTATGCAAATGTAGCCACCACCTTTTTTTTAGAGTTTCTTTATTATTTTTTTTTTAGTAATTTTTATCAGCTCTGCCCGAATTTTACTCCCAAATCATTTGATCGGGGCACATTCCTGACCTCATTCCAGTCAACAGTCAGTCACACCAAGCAGTGCCACACAACAGCCACCACACTCCTTTTCAGAACATTTTCTTCTGTCCTGTCCTCGTTGACGCCGGAGCCCGTGTGTGTGAGGTAGCAGCCTGACTGCACGCCTGGAGCCGCAGAGGTCCACGTAGTCATGCTTACCTGCCTGATGCCATGACGCCAGCCATGGTGACGGCACCAATCACCCCAATGAGCTTGTACCTCAGCACAGTGCTCGAGAGCTGCTTGCGTATCACCAAGTGCATGTCATCCTGCAACGAGAAAGGACGGAGGAAGCTGGAGACGCTGGGGTGACGCAGCAGAGCCTGGGCCACTGGACGGTAAAGAGTTCCACAACAGCACGCGTCCACCATTCCGTATGAGGCCCGTGAACTGAAATGCATCCCACAACACGAGTCCACTTGCCTGGGCCATGGTCCTCAATGTGATGCAATTACCCAATGTGTGCTAAATCCTAGCCGCTACGGCAAGGAGGCGAGATGAGAAACAGGTACGTTTGTGAGGCAGGCCAGGCAACCTACAAAACTAGGTTGATCCTTGGAGTGAATGTCTTTTGGAGCTATAGATGACACAGGGGACAGATATCAGAAAGACTTCATTACCACCCAGAAGGATGAGCCAGGGGCAGAGTGTGTGTGCTTTGGGCCTGGAGTCCCTGTGCTGTGAGCCTCCTAAACCCGGGGCAGGCGCAGACACATGGAAATCTGGTTGAACCTACTCTAGAGCCTCCCCCAGACCTGGTTCCCCGGACGGAGACCTTCACAGCCTCACGAACTGTGAAAGGACATCTTCTGTCTGTGCAGCCTCCACTTGTGAGGTTTTTGTTACAGCAGCACGAGGAAACTAGAAGACTTGCCTTCCTCCGCCCACCTCTGTCCTTTTGAATTCTGTACCATGCGGGTTTATGAGTGCCCAAAACACCAATTTTGACTCATAGCAACCCTATTGGACGGAGCAGAACTGCCCTGTGGGTTTCTGAGAACGTCAGTAATTACGAGGGTAGGGACTCTCACCTTCCTCAGAGCAACTGGTGGTTTCGAACTGCTGACCCTGCGGTTAGCAGGCCGAGGCGTAACTCATTATGCCACCAAGGCTCCCTCATCCATTACCTAGTCAAAATTGTTTAATTAAAACAGGGTGGGCGGGCAAAGTTGGAAACAGATAAGAGTGATAATGTAAGAAATATGAAGAACGGTGAAATGGGATATCCTTCATTACATAAGACCATGGTTGTTAACCTTCCTAACGCCACGACCCTTTCATACAGCTCATGCTGTGGTGACCCCGTATGTGGGTGTATCTGCATGTGGGCGGACCGCCTGGAGACGGATAGAGGAGCGGTGTCTCAGTTCCTAAGACCATCGGAAATACGGTCTTAGGCGACCCTGTGAGAGGGTTGTTCAGCCCCCAAAGGGGTTGAGACCCACAGGTTGAGAACCGCTGAGGAAACTTGGAAAAGTTCCTGGAAAAGTTTATCTTTTTTTATATACATTAATTTATTGGGGGCTCTTACATCTCTTTTTTTCCCCTTCTTTTCTTTTTTTTCTGTGATGAGAGCACAATATCCAGGATGATCTGCCTGCCCTCAGTATCTACGGTTGGGACCCAAGCACAATATATATATATATTTTTTAACCTTCAGATCTATAGATTTATTTTTCTTAACACAATCAAATACTCAATAACAGTACTTGGCAATAAACTAGACAGATTGCAAATTCTCTGAATACAAAGGTCAAATACTATACATGTGTTTTTGTTTTTAATTGTTTTATTGGGGGCTCACACAGCTCTGATCACATCCATACATCCATCCATTGTGTCAAGGACATTTGTTGTCATCATCATTTCCAAAACATTTTCTTTCAACTTCAGCACCAGGCACACTAACTTTAAACACCCGGATCAAACACTTCGGCTTTCAACTCACGGTGACCCTTACTACTGTGTGCTTCATCTTCAGTCCTGATTAATCAGCTTCAAGAGCACTGCCGACAGCTGCGTGACGGACCACTGGCCTGGTCTCGGCAAGGCACGTTCCCCTGCCCCCACTGTGCTCGCTGTCCATGCAAGCCATCGTCAGCGTTGCCGCTGGCTTTGGCAGGCATGCCAATTTTAATAAGGGACGCACCCCGACTATATAAGAAATGGCCGGCACGGTGGGAAATGTCTTTTCCTGAAATGTTGCAGGTTGGTTATAGCACACTGAACGGCGACCGTCAAGGGAAAACTCACCCTGGGCTCTTTTTTGACTACAGCAGCTATGTGGAAGCAACTGCAGCTTCGATAAGGGCCACTACAGCTCTTAGAACCGTCCATACATGCATTGTGTCAAGCACATTTGTACACATGTTGCCATCACCATTTTCAAAACGTTTTCTTTCTACCTGAGCCCTTGGTAACAGCTCCTCTATTTTTGCCTCCCTCTTCCACCTTGCACCCTTGTGAACCCTTGACAAATTATGCATTATTATTATATATTTTCATATCTCACACCGGACAATTGCTGTCTCCCTTCGATTCTTTTAATACAATTTTTTCTAAGAACTTCCTGTAGCCCCCACCGATACAGTCACAATTTTAAAACCAAAATTCCACAGCCATCATGTTGATTCTAAGAGTGTGCCTCTACAGAGGGTTTCCTGGGCGACAAATCCTTACAGGAGCGAAGCAGCCAGCCCGCCTTTCTCCTGCACAACAGCTGGCAGGTGTGGCCTTGTGGTTACCAGCCCCCGCCTAGCACATCCACACCAGGCTACCAGCCCACCGCCTAGCACATCCACACCAGGCTACCAGCCCACCGCCTAGCACA